AGGGCTGCCTGCTCTAGGCACCCTGCCCGGCTGTGGGGCGCCCCACCTGAGGCCGTGTACCCCCTGACTGCCATCCTGCCCGGCACCTCAGTCCTCCCTTGTCCCCCCCGGCAGCTACAGCGACCTGCGGTTCATGGCCATCCAGATCGCCTCTGGCATGAAGTATCTCTCCTCCCTTAACTTCGTGCACCGAGACCTGGCCACGCGCAACTGCCTGGTGGGGAAGCAGTACACCATCAAGATAGCTGATTTCGGCATGAGCAGGAATCTCTACAGTGGGGACTACTACCGCATCCAGGGGCGGGCGGTGCTCCCTATCCGCTGGATGTCCTGGGAGAGCATCCTGCTGGTACGTGGGGGCTGGGGTCCTCTGACGGACACTGACACGGCCCTGGGGCTGCTCACAGCCTCTTTTCCTCAGGCTTCGGGGTGTAGAAGGGATGGGGAAGTCTCTCCTACCTGGAGCTCAGCTTTGAGGTGAAGCATGCAGAAAGCAGGAGTGGTAGCAGCTTTTCAAGGTGGGATGGGGTGACTACGGTGGTCTTTGGTGTCCCGGTGCCCAGCCTTTGAGCTGGATGCTTGACATTTTCTCCTGGCCATGGTCAGACCTGGAAGAGGGAGCAGGGTTACTTTTTATCTTTGCAGGGAGTTGGGTCCTAACCAAGCCCCAGCTCTCAGAGCAGTCGCTGCAAGCTGGACCCAGAGCTCGCCAGACTCTGGCCCCAGGCAGAGAGCAGGTCTGCGGGACCAAGCCCCCCTCTGGGCCCAGATCTGGAAGCTGAAGCATCCAGAAAGAGATTTTGAACCTTGGGCACATAGGGCTTATGGAGCAGGATGGGGTAATGCCCATGCCCGACCCCGCTCTGCTCCCTTTGGCCAGGGCAAGTTCACGACGGCCAGTGACGTGTGGGCATTCGGCGTGACACTGTGGGAGACCTTCACTCTCTGCCGGGAGCAGCCCTACTCCCAGCTGTCTGACGAGCAGGTCATCGAAAACACTGGCGAGTTTTTCCGGGACCAGGGCCGGCAGGTAGGGATGGGATGGGATGGGATGGGATGGGATGGGATGGGATGGGATGGGATGGGACAGGACAGGCAGCAGTGCACCTTGGACACCAGGAGACCTGGGAAAAGGCTTTAAGGTGACCAGATAGGAAACTTGGCTATGGGGGAGTTATGGGGCAGGAACTCCTCTGGGAAGGAGTCCTGGTGAAGGGCCTGGCACGGCAAACCCTGTACTTCACACAGCCCAAGGCACCGCTTGCCCGCTGACCCCACTCCAGCATTTAGCCAGGCTGGGAGATGTGAGCAGGTGTCCACAGGCCCCCCACTGTGCCGTCTGGGAGTCCCCTTGTCCCTGGACACACAGCAGCACAGCCCCCCACGCTGGTGCATGGAGAAATGGGGCTCCCCAGGAGCAGTTTGATTATGGTTTCCGTGGCAGTAACTCTCTCCCTTTGTCATCTTTGCCTTTTGTTTTGAAGACCTACCTTCCCCAGCCTGCACTTTGCCCTGACTCAGTCTATAAGCTAATGCTCAGCTGCTGGAGACGGGACACTAAAGATCGTCCCTCCTTCCAGGACATCCATCGCCTTCTCCAGGAGTCAGCCAGTGAAGAATGACCCTTTGGTCCCCCCAGCCCGGTCCCCATCCCTCCCCATCCCCAGAGGAGCCCCATACGCAAACCGAAGCCACTTCACTGGGACTTAGAAATAAAACCCGGGCAGCTGGTCTTGTTCTCATTGTACAGTGAAGCCTCAGAGGAAAACCCCAAGGGCAGCAAGGAGAGACATGGCATGGGACAACTCGGACCTCCCGCTCACTTGCTGACACAAGCCCAGGAGCGACACGGGCTGAGACGAGGGTTATTTATTGGCGCAGCATGTTCTTGGTGACGATGACCGGGACAGAGCGGCTTCTCTCCCCCGGTCAGACGGGAGGAATGTCAGCTGGACTTTCTCCGTGAGGAAGCTCCTGGCCCATGTGCGGGCACCTGGGGAAGGGATGCTTGCGGGTACGTGCCCGCTGGAGCAGGGACTGTACCTGCTCGAGGAGGAGCTGGGAGTTGCCACTAGCTCGCAGCGGGCTGTGCAATTACAGGGTGAAAACAAAAACTCTCTGGACATTTTGGGCTTTGGACATGCCACATGGAAAGGCAGGAAGCCCCATACCTGCCTGCTAGACCCCAGTTGCACAGGGAGAAGCCTGACAGCACTCCTGGCTCCTCACCCAGCTGCTGGGCAGCCTGCTCGGCCGTGGCTTCTCCGTGGTGTCAGCCGGGGAGGAGCAGGCATGCCAGCCCCAGCAAGAGGCATGCTGAGGGGACCTCCTCTCACTGACCACAGACACTCCAGAGCTGCTCAACTGCCCATGAAATGCATTTTGGATGCCCCACGGGTGCTGCGTGGCAGCCAGCGGCAAGATGTTAGTGCCCTTCACCTCCAAGGGGAAATCTCCAGATCCTCCACTCCCAGGGTTAACCCACATCTTCACCTGCCATGAGAGGAATGCACATAGCAGAGCTTTTGCCAGCTGCTGCCTGATGCCCAAGCCTGCAACAGCCTGTGGGCATGGAGCAGCGGGCACCCTGGCTCTCCTGAGCTCTCGGCCCGGGGATCGCAGCTCAGCTGAAGCGAACTCTGCCACCCTGAGCATCCCGCAGCAGTCTGGCACCAGTCCGTCCTCCCGGATCCTGCAGCTCCATGAGCAAACTGGGCAGGTGCCAAAGCCACGTGCTCCCCAGGAGTCCTGGCAGGTTACCTGTCATGCCCCAAAATCAGACCCTCCTGCGGCTGGACAGGAGGAACTTTGTACTTAGAGGGTACATGGATCCCTCTGTACTTTTGCACGCATTAGTTCAGCACCATCAAGTCACGCGTGGCACGGTTTCCAGTATACTATTGCTAAGACATGTATATATTCAGTAGATGCACCTATATATAGGGGCAAACCCGCTGAAGAGACACTTGCTACGTGAATCTGGTTGCGTGGTTTCCTTGCGGCACTTCAGAAGGCGGCTCGCCTCCTCCGTGGGCACACCCGGGAGCCCGGCCGGTACCCACCTGTCGGGGGGCTCTGGGGCTGCACTGTGTGCCCCGAGATGCTGTGTGGGGAGAGCTTGGGGGAGTACACACAGGTAACAGCGTGAGAGATGGAGGAAGGATGCTCAAGAGACCTGCTGGTTGACCCACACCAGCTGCTTATCTCCTTGGGTGACAGGGAGGATGCTCTGAGGCTCAGCATCCGTGTCAGGAGATGTCCACCGGCAGGGACCGAGGTGGGATAGCGGGTCTGGGAGAGGGGAGGGCAGGGATAGGGAGCTGTGCTCTGCAGAGGGGCCGGCTGGTCTCCCCGCACAGGGTCCTGCTGGCTGCATCAGAGGAGGTCTCATCCCTGCTGAGTGCATAGCCTGCGGCAGCACGGCACTCTATGGCTGAACCAGGAGCGAGGACAGGCTTTGTTCATGCCACGTAATTGGTATCTGTCTGCCTCTGCCCTTGGATGCCCTCTCCCTGCTCGGGGTGCATTGCAGCCTCTCCCAGCCCTGCCTCAGCAAGCCAGGAGCTGGGAGCACTGGGCCAGGTAGGGCCACGTCTGCCCCATGGGCACCACAGCTCCTGCTGACCCAAGCCCCTGGGCTCTGTGCCTGGGCGCCCTGCACGGCCGCGGGTTAAATAGCACGTTAGGGTGCCTGAGGAGCGGCCCCACTGCCCGGGAAGGTGTGGGGGGCTGGTGTGTCCATCCCCTGCTCCAGCTGTGACACTGGCCCCCCCAGGAGCAGGGCTGCACCCAAGACGTCCGGCAGGACCTGCACACCCAGACCTCTCTGCCACAGCAGCACCGGGAAACAGTGACCTGGCAGCACTCCTGTTTGGCAGCAAAACGCCTCTCTGTTGCAAAGGTGGTGAGGGCAGAGCGCACCATGGCTGCCTGCGGAAAGCCTGCCTGCTGCAGCTGCGGAGCACAAGGGGCTTGTCTTTCCCGGGCTGGCAAGGCAAGGCAAGGCAAGGCAAGGCAAGGCAAAGCAGGGCAAGGCAAGGCAAGGCAGGGCAAGGCAAGGCAGGGCAAGGCAAGGCAAGGCAAGGGCACCAGGGGGACCCGAGCTGCTCGCAAGGGGACGCGGGGCAAGGGGGGACAAGGCAAAGCAGGGCCAGGGAAGGC